GAACACATTTTAGTGCAAGGCGCAACTTTCTTTGCCAAAATATGTTGCGACGCGGGTCTAGCAACGAAGCTTCGTGATGAGGGGTCTTGTCGCTAAAAGCTCCAGTTACATGATACATATCAAGTTCTGGCGACGGATTTGCTTGGCCGACAGAGGCCCTTTTTCTAGTGAATCTAATGTCGGAGTATGTGTATAGATGTACCGCCAAATAGAAATCCATTAGTATATGCCTTATCTTCCGATAGATGAAATATCACATTCTTATGTTCAAAGCGTGCATAAGATGTCCTAGGAGCTTGCTGTCCGTATGTATTTGTGCAGTGAAGGAGGATATTTTGATCTCATTTGGATGATAAACTTGTATTTGTGGTTGATGGGGTCTTCGTTCTGTTGAAGTAGCTACCGGCGCTTTTTGTTAGGTCTCCTGCGAGTGTTGCTGTCGACCTATTCTCATATTGGACAATAGCGTGCATAAATGAAAGTTGCTCTCTTTGAGGTAAAGTAAGTGAGTATTTCGAGCTAAATCTTCACTGTATCATGTTGACATCTTCTCAGCTTGCCATCCATGCTTTGAGGGTGTAAAATATCACCCCTCGTTCTATCGGTAGAGAGAGAATGACGTTTGATCCCTTCTTCCTCTCCTTCGCACGGTACTTCTTGTTGTTGTCTGGCCCCCATTTCTTGAACCAGCTAAATACAGGGTGTCAAGGGTGTCAAGAGATACTTGTTCATGGAGAAATTACAAGGTCCCTGTTGAGATGCAGTCCTTTTCTAAATAATGTGCATGCTCTTTAAGGTGAAGTGCACTTTCCTCTTGATAAATTGCTCACTTTTTTACAGTGAAGTGCATGCTTCTCATAATAATATACTCTCGTACACAGGAAAAAATTATCAAAAAAATCCTAAACCTGTCCTAAACCTTTTAATTTGTCTACGTCAATGCCACGTCGGACAGCTGGCATCCATATCAGTGATTTTTAACTAAAATTGGCCAGATGAACTAAATTGTCAAAATATTTAGAACTAAATTAGTCAAATTAAATGGTTTAAGACTGTATTGGTACAATTACAATAGATTTATAATTTTTTTGGTAATTTTTTCCTCTTTCGTGTCAAGCGCACATTCCTTTGAGGCCAAGTGCATCCTTCTTAGGGTCGAGTGAACACTCGTTATGGTCAAGAGTGAGCTCCTTCTGGCATCTAGATGAGAAATGTGCTTCTTTCGATGAGGGGCATGCCCCTTAAGCAGGTCGATGTTAACGGGGCTCCCATGGTATTCCTAATGTTCTATCAAGTTATCAAAACTATTGTGAAATCGTCTAGAAAGCCCATGTTCACTTTCTATTGTTGTAGGAACTGGTTAATTAATCCAATCAAGCCCACTACGATCATTTGCAAAATAGGGACGAGATATTTCCGTTGTTTTAATCGTGGGTCAAATTCTAGTATAAGTTCCCAACTAAAATCCCCAACTCAGTTTTAGCAGAAAAGAAAGTCCCCAGTTCAGAGCGTTTGACCCTTTTTTGTCGGGAAAATTACCAAAAAAGTCCTAAACCTTTTGCAATTGTGCCAATTCAGTCCTAAACCTTTTTTTTTGGCCAATTCAGTCCTAAACCTTTTGCAATTGCGCCAATTCAGTCCATTCGGCCACTTTTGGCCGGCCGGCGCTGACGTGGACGCCGGCCGGCGCGGCTGACGTGGCAATTTTTAATAATTTTTCGATTTTTTTTTATTTTTTTCTCTTTTTTTTTTCTGGCCTATCTTCTTCCCTGGTCGCCGGTCCGGTGACCGGTGAGAGGCTGAGGCCGGGGAGGTCCACTTCGCCGGCCATGGGCGAGGTTGGCCCTCGCCGGCATTGGCGAGGGCCAGCCTCGCCGTCGCCGGGCGAGGTCGACCTCGCTAGATCCGGGCGAGGCCTCGGCGGCGACAGCGAGGCCGCCCGGATCCGGCGAGGCCTCGCGTTCTGGGCGAGGTCATGGCGAGGTTGACCTCGCCCGACGACGGCGAGGCCTCGCTAGATCCGGGCGAGGCCTCGCCGTCGCGGGCGAGGTCGACCTCGCCGCGACGGCGAGGCCTCGCCGGATCTCGGGGGCCTCGCGTCGGCGGGCGAGGCCTCGCCCAAATTTGGCGAGGTCGACCTCGCTGTCGCCGGCAAGGTCGACCTCGCCGCAAGAACGGCGAGGTTGACCTCGCAAGATCCGGGTGAGGCCTCGCTCGGCGACTGACCAGCCGCCCAGATCCGGCGAGACCTCGCCCTCCCTCGACGAGGTCGACCTCGCCCGCGACGGCGAGGCCTCGCCCGGATCCGGCGAGGCCTCGCCGTCGGACGGTGAGGTCGACCTCGCCCGTCGACGGCAAGGCTGGCCCTCGCCAGTGCCGGCGAGGGCCAGCCTCGCCCATGGCCGGCGTGGTCCACCTCGCCGGCCTCAGCCTCTTGCCGGTCGCCGGACCGGCGACCGGAAAAGAAGATAGGCCAGAAAAAAAAAGAAAGAGAAAAAGATAAAAAAAAAATCAAAAATAATAAAAAAATTATTAAAAATTGTCACGTCAACCGCGCCGGCGCCGATCGACGTTCACGTCAGCGCCGGCCGGCCAAAAGTGGCCGGATGGACTGAATTGGCACAATTGCAAAAGGTTTAGGACTAAATTGGCAAAAAAAAAGGTTTAGGACTTTTTTGGTAATTTTTCCTTTTTTTGCCTTAGGTCAAAATTGAAGCAGTGGCCATCCATCTCGCTCGCAACCTCAAAAAAGGACTTGGAGCTCCCAAACATCATCAATTAAAGTGATTGCAAGATAGCCATTGATGCTCCGCTCAGCCCTCGATCTGTGCTTTGCTCTAACTCCAAGAAAGGCCAGGATTGAGTGTAACCCGATCCTCCCGTTTCTCCAACAAATAATGTCTTCTTGTAAGACTCTTCAAATGATCAATGAATGATGTTATTTTCTAGCAAAATAATAAAATGTACAGTTAGATTGATTTATTAAATCTAATGATGATTAGTTTGACAGAATTAAGACCTTCCTCTGTTCTTCATTAGAGAAACTCCAATCCAAAATTAGATGAGAGCGACATTCAATGCTTAGATTACAGAACAAGTAGAGAGATATTGTTCTCCCAACAGATGAACTGTTAATCCTGTCAAACGTAGGGAGTTTATCATGTATTACTAACCAAGAATTAAAGCCAAATCTTGGCACATTAGGGGAGAACCACACAAGTCTGTGCCAGTCAATATCAGCATTCTTGTTTCTGACAATTTCCGAAGCAACAAAAGAGTCAAAGCAACCAGTTGAAGAAGCTGTGCATACAACATTCTCTGCAGCTGAGGAATTAGGAAAATTCACACCACAAAGGGCAGCTTGGATGGAAACCAACTCTCTAGACCTAGCAGCGGGCCACTTCCAATGAGAGTTACGAATTACAGCAGATACTTCGGCCTGCAGAGGAAGAGAAGATTCATAAGTAATTCTCCTTGAGATATGATTCCGGCAAGAGCCCAGCATGGTGTCACAATCATACCAAGAGAAATATTATCTCCATTACCCACTATATATCTAATGCAGGGTTTCCAAATATTCCCAACTTTTAATAACTTCTTCCAAGCATAAGTAGCATCTTGTTTACAGTCAAGATGATAGCTATAGAGCCCGGCAAAACATAGAGACCACACCTCAGCAAAATACTCCACAGACACTTTAAAATACAAGCAAGATTTCACAAATCCAGTCTTCTAACACCAAGGCCTCCAAAGTGCTTAGGAGGACAGACAGTGTCCCATCAAACTTTTGCTCCCTCTTTAGCATCAGGATCTCCCTTCCAAAGGAAAGCTCTACACTTTCGCTCGACCATTTCAAAAACTTTCTTGGGCAACAAAAAGAGTTGACAGTAATAGTTAACCAGATTATGAATAACAAATTTAATAAGCTGAAGTTTGATGGCATATGAGCGGCTTTTAACTGTCCAAGCTCTAAATCTTGTTGTAATTCGATGATTTTATGAGAGGCTTATACTCCTTGTCTGAAAGTCTTCCAGACAATCGACAATTACTAGAAGAAAGAACCAAACAAGAACATAGGGTTGGCTGATCGGTCAAGCTGTTTGATTTGATTGCTGCATGTTAGACAAATGCATTTATCAAAAGCTAAAGCTGTTAGGAAACGTACCGAGCAATGTATATATGACGTACAACTTAACACTCCCCTTGCGTAGAACCGATCCCTTACGCATGCACGACACAATGTGGGCGTAATCACATCAATGAGATATCCAGGGAAATGATAACAAACAACATAACAGACGAGAAATGTTAAACCAATGACATGTGCTTTGATACAATGCTAGAAATGGACAAGTAGAATGCGGACAATTTGTCGGAAATTTAACAAAACAAGTAGAATGCAGACTATATGCTAATCCTTCAGAAGAGATTCTTTCTATGTTCTGATTATACCCCATGATCATTATCCGCCTCTTAAACAGCCAGTCAATAGAAATAGCAGCAACAAATCTACTCACCCTTTAAACTTTGCCAACCAGCGACTCCAGAATCCAAAGCTATGCATCTTTGACTCCATGAAGCAGAACATGAATAGTTATCAAAATGAACTTTGGGCAAAGATTTCATTGAGAGCTAACCAGTCCGCGAAATGCCTTCATTTTTGTCTGTATTCAAACCGACTAAACCATTCCTCAGTCTTGGATGGTGAGTAAAATGCTGGAATGGAAGGGTTGAGGCACAACAAATCTGTTTCCCCCATAGATCTCGATGTGCATCACAGTATGCTCAGAAATGAGAAGATTGCGTGGGTGGGAATAAGTACTTTGAACCGGTAGATGCAGACAGAAAGTTAATATCGAGTTCCTTCCACTTATGGTGAATGCTGCCAGAGTAATTTTCGCGTATCAGAATCAGAGAAAATAGTCGAATACATTCCACAACTTAGTAAATGGGTTCAAAAGGAGTTTCCAGACTAAAACAGGAAAGATGATTTAAAGCACCTTAACTGCCATTAACATGACATGAACTTGCTCTATCCATCCTGAAGTTCTGACTTCTGAGCTACCCTTTTTCAATGAGACCCAACTTTCAAACATTTTCAAACTCGTCTTTGCTATTTATTCATCACATAAATCATGTCTAGATTTTAGATTCATCTAGCCGATCGAACATCACGGGGAAAAACAAGACTCTTATTGAACAGGATAACAGAACACGTACATACCTCGATCCCCGCGAGTAATTCGAGAACCAACTGATCACGGAAAAGCTTCCACGAAAGCCGAGATCTTAACAAGAAAGCTAGGCTGCAGTGGCATGTACCCTTCTTCTTCGTCTCTACAATGAGGAGCAATCTCACGTCCAGGGTCAACCCCTTCAGCATCTTCTCCTCCTAAGACTTAAATACCGGTGAGGCGGCGATGGCAAAGGAAAGGGTACCGACCAAACTTCACCAATGGGAATTCCAGTGTAATCTGCAAGGCAAGCAGGATTGAGAGAGAATCTTGGGTAATGAGCGATGACAAAAGAATTGGTGGATGAGGGAGCGCAGAAAAAATGGTGGAATGCCAAAAAAAAAAAAATTCAGCCCGTCGACAACATCCCCGGGATTTTTTCACGACAATTTATGCCGGACCGATGAGATCACGGGGGGAAGAAAGCATTTCAATGGAGAGGGGGGGAACCGGTGCCAAATCTGAGGAGAGAAATTGACAGCGAGTTGAAATCAAATACCTGGTTTTTACCCCGAAGGGCCATCGAAATCTTCGCGAGATCGAGAGGAGGAGAACCCAAGAAGAAGCGGAGAGAGGCGGTGATTGGGATGGAGATGGTTACGCCCAAAAGCAGCTGCTTCTTCTTCAAGCTTACTACTACTAAAATCTTCTAAAATAATAATTAAAATACGGAACCCCCTTTTCCAATAAAGCCAAAGCTCAGATATATCTCTTCCCGCGCATATAATAATATTCGAGTCCGAATCCTCCTTTTAAGTAATTGACCGGAACGGGTCACCGACCAATGTGACCAGCGGGATTTCGCGGATGAGGGGCCAATAGCGGCCGGTCCCTTTCTTGCATCGCTCCTCCAGAATCCCACATCTTTCGATCGAGAGATGTTCTAGGGAGGGAGGGAGGCCATCCTGGGGCAACTCCCTCAGCTTCGGGCATTGAAAGATCGACAAGGTCTTGAGAGAGGGAGGGAGACTGCTGGACAGTCTTTTCACCTTCCCCATATCATAGATATAGAGCGTGAGCAGAGAGGAAGGGAGCGGAAGCCGAAGATCCTTCTCCTCTCCCACTCCTCCAGCACTGCCTCCTATCCAGAGAAATTGAAGGGAGGTGAGGGGGGTAAGCCACTCCCTCATCGGCTGCTTCATATTCCCGCATTCCCATACCGTAAGTTCCTGTAGCTGGGGCGGCAATCCTCCATGGGGGAAGCGCGTAATACTCTCACACTCTGAAATTTCAAATTCGCGGAGACATGGAAGTTGATACAACTGATTAGGTAACGATTTTATCTTCGGACAATTATAAAGAGAAAATCTCGAGATGCTGAGAGGAAGAGGAGGGAAGCACTCTAGCTCCAGCGCAGGACAGTTGACCAATGCCAAGGAAGTGAGAAGGGATAGTGCGCGCAGGCACGGAGGTAAACTTCTCAAATTCTCGCAACTCCAAATTCCAATCTCTCGAAGCGACTGAAGATGGTATACATTTATCTCCGCGAGCGACTCCACTCCCTTGCAGGAAGAAATCTTAAGTGTCTTGAGGGTCGCAGGTAAAAATCTACCTTCATTGAATAGAGAGGCTGGCAGAGAATTGCATCCGTCAATTGTTAACTCTTGCAGACAAGACGTCATGTCAATGCGGTTATTGCTATTGCTGCTGTTGCCACTGCTTGGTTCATCCGGACGAATACTTAATCCTCTAGGTAAAGATTGCAACAAATTGCAACGACTGACATATAATGACATCACCGATGTCGGTATACCTGTTTCAGGAAAGGACACGAGTTTTGGACAGTTTTTAACCATCAAGTTTATAAGAGAGGAGAGGGTATGCATTTTGCATGGGAGCTTCTCTAAATTGATGCAATCTGTCAATTCAATAGTCTCGAGGTTGATGGGCAGCTCTATATCTCCTTCTCCAGCCCCAAAATATATGAATTCCGAACAATTTTGGACGACTAACCTCTTCAGGCAAGCGAGATTCCCAATTACATCTATGTCTTGCCACAAGTACAATAGCTTTTCACAACTTCTCATCTCCAACTCCTCCAGTTTGATCAAGGAGCTTGTAAACCCATGACTTAAGCAAGTTAGGTTAGCAACATCTTCTATAACAAGAGCGGTCAGAGATGTCAAGTTCACCAAACTCTTCAGCACCCCCTCATTACAACCTACAAACTTTAATTTCTCAAGAGATGGAATGCTCGTGATAGAGGGCGAGGCATCCATACGAGGACAGGAGTTGATTTCAAGCTCTATGAGGGAGCTTAGTTGACTAGGCAATCTTCCGATCAACATAGGGCAATCTTGTATGACGAGATGCTCAAGACGAGGGAACAAAACTCCTACTTCTTCAGTGCCGACCCAATGAGACCAGTCCTCCCATAATGGCATGTCCTTGAATTCCAGAGTTATTAAGGACATAAAAGGACTTCTAGTTCCATAAAATTCAGATCCAACCTTGCATATTGCATTTAGACCTTCGATGTACAGTTCTTTCAGCGAAGATAGTTGCCCGAGTGATGGTAATGTTTTGGCCTTACGACACTCGTGTAAACGTAAATGCACTATGTTAACATGTGGGGGACTTCCTAACCATGATGGGAATTCTAGGCCACCATAAAAAAATATTTTGAGAATTTGAAGGTTTTGGTGAGGGCAAAGTAAGTCAAGGACCTTTGCTTCAAGCTCTTCATCCCGGAAATTCTCAAAATCTTGACACCATTGCATGGTTAACCAGCATATTCCCTTCTTCGTGTATAAATTGGCATCCGTGGCATCTCTGGCTTCTCGAACCATATGCAAATCAGAGATGCATAATTCCCCTCTAAGGTTCTCCAGATTTTTTAACTCCTTCAATCTTGAGCCATTTTCCGTTCCCACTATAAACTTCGACAACATCTCAAGACCCACCAAATTACCTATATTCAATGGCATCCCTCTTAGGCTCCGAGTGTCGGTAATATCGAGATATCTCAGATTGATCATTTTCTCCATATCTTCGGGTAATTTGATAAGCTTGTCACAGCCCCGCAGCATCAAAACCTCTAGGTTGTACAGTGCAACAATTGACTTTGGAAGCGCTTCGATATTAGTATACGACAGATTAAGATGCCTTAGGTGCCTCAGTTTGCCAATGCAATCCGGTACCTCTATGATGTAGTAGTGACTTAATGAAAGCAATCTCAAGTATTTCAATTCTTGCAAAAAGTCACATATCACTTTCTGGGACAAAAAGGAATAAGGGCTAGATTGCTTCCTTAATGATATGAAGCTCCTAAGTCCCTTCATTTGATGATATATCTTGAATCTTTCCGGTACAATGTGAATACTGGAAATGAATGAGGCGTGACGAGCTAAAGATGCATTTTTTTTATCATGCTCAAACTCAAGCTCCCCTGAGCTAAAATGGGTTGCACCCGCCACTAGCTTTGCCAGGTCATTCACAAGATCATGCATCAAGAATCGTAATTCACTGCTACTCGAATTTTGAAATAACGATCTAGACACTAACTCGTTGAAATATTTCAAACCTGCATTCCAATGGTCCTTTCTTTCTTTTCCCTCCAACAAGCCCTCTGCAATCCACCAGTGAATCAACTCATCCCGTTCGATTTCATAGTCTTGGGGAAATATAGCACAGTAAGCGAAACATCTCCTCAAATAGGAAGGGAGATGGAGGTAGCTAAGTTTCAAAGCCGGAAGGATGTCGTTACTTTCTTCTGGTAGGTCCCAAATTTTGCTGTTCAATATAGCTTCCCATTCATGGGGACTGACTTTAAAGCTTAGCAGTCCGGCCAAAGTCTTCACGGCTAATGGCAACCCTTGGCATTTTTCCACTATTTTTAGACCTAATTCTTCAAGATTGGGATGACGATTGAAATTTCCGACCCCAAGAGCATGAAATGCGAACAGAGTCACACAAGCATCTCGTGACAACTCTTTGAGAGTATAGGGCCGAGCACGGGCTATTTCAGCAACGCGAAAATTACGAGTCGTAACGATGATCTTGCTTCCCTTCGCTCCCGATTGAAAAGGCTTCAAGAGGATAGTCCAGTTTCCATAATTCTCGTTCCAAACATCGTCTAAAACGACAAGAAACTTCTTCCCCGCAAGGTGTTCCTTGAGCTTATCATGAAGCCAATCCAAGTCCTTACCTTCACAGGATAAATAGCCATTGGTTGTCGTCTCAAGGATCTTCTTTGTAATAGCAAGTACGTCGAAATCATCAGAAACGCAAGCCCATGCTCTAACATCGAAATAGTCAATGACTCTAGTATCATTATAGACTTGCTGAGCCAGAGCCGTCTTCCCAACACCCCCCATACCTACTAAGGGAATCACTTTTAGATCCACACATGTTCTATCATCTTCTTCTTTGATTAGTAATTCGAGTATCTCCTTCTTTTCAACCTCCCTACTAACAAAACAACGCTCGGGCAAATTTGTGGTGGCATGCTTCTTATCTTGTTGGTGATAAGCTGATCGCTTCCCGTTATTCACTTTTAGGCTCAAGCCATCTTTACGAGCTGTGATCTCCTGTAATCTGCCATCCATCTTCTCTATCTGGGATCTTATTTTGTGGTCGAACATAAGTGCTCTCGAGCTCAATCTGAAGCAACAACTCGGAAGAAAGGAACGCACCTTGCTAGGGCCTGGTTCCGTCTTGGACTTGTTTTCAGCAGATTCTGTGGCGAACTCATCGAGCAAGTCTTCGATGTCATAGGCCAAGTTCCTTAGATCTTCAAGCCACGACTTCACCCCGAGATCGCCGGTAAGTTGCCTATCCTCTGCATCATCCAGCACCTCGTTCATACTAATAAGCATCTTCTCCCATTTCTTCAGCAGCTTATCGATCCCCTCACGTTGCGCAAAGTTGAGCAGCTCACGAGAGGCCAACCTCTCGAACAGCACGGGAAGAAGGGCGCCAAGGAAGAGCTCTGCGATGGGCATGGCTTGCTTCGTGAGCGGCAGAGGATTGAAGAAGACAAGAGTGCCTCGATGGTTTGAAACAGAGTGTTCAGAGTGGGCAGGAAACAAAAGCTCTTATTTTCAGGACAACAGCATAAAAAATTCTTATTTTGAGCAATTAAAGCACTCTAGTTGGACCGAAACACTGCTAATTGAGGGTCCCCTTCCTCAACGTCTCTATCTCACCTAGTCAGCATGCTTCACCCATTTGCAGTGGAGGAAAGAATGGATGAATGGAGACTTGCCCACTAAAAGTTCTTGCTTTGTTTATTTATTTGGATTAATGCCATGAAAAATCTCAAATTGTATATTTGTGATAAATTTACTTCGAATTAATTTTTTAACCACAAAAAACCCTAAACCGGTACATCTGTTATAAATTTACCCCAAACTAATTTTTTGACCACCGAAAACCCTAAAGAGATATATTTGTAACAAATTTACCTTCCGTTAAATTGGATTAATACCATGAAAAATCACAAATTGGTAAATTTATGATAAACGGAGGGATAAAACTTCAAACTAGTACACCTATCAACTGTCACGTGTCATCTAACTCAGCAATTTGACGGTAAAATTTAACAAAACTAATAAAGGGTAAATTTATCACGGGTGTACCAGTTTGGTATTTTTTGTAGTCAAAAAATTAATTTGTGATAAATTTATCACAGATATACCAGTTTGGGATTTTTGTTAGTATTAACACTATTAAAAAAAACTATTTATTTCCTTTCTCCTAATAATGGCGGACAAGGACAAGGAGCAGGTTTTGGACTAGTGCTCAATCCATGTTTGGCCTTTGGCGGTGGAGGAAAGAATCGAGACATAGACATTGGTGGTGGTAACTGAACAGTAAAGTACAAAAACTTTTTTATGGGCCACCTTTGCTATTACTCGATTTTATTTATGGGGCAATCTGCTATCAAGTTTTCAGCTTCTCAAGTAATTGACCGGTCTTTAGTTAAGGCCTTAACTAAGGTTATGCTACGGTGCTCCATAGTTCATACCCATCTCCTGTTTCTTCCTCGTCATTTGGGTCTCTGTTTACTAAATCTCGGCCATTGATAATCAAATACTCTAGCAATCTTTCTCCACCGATTGCTCTTTGACGCTCCCCTTCCTTTGTTCTATTTTTGCACTTAAATCTCTACACCCTTATTCGTCTCTCATCGTTCATTTCATTTGATTTAATTTCATCGGAAAAAGTTGGTCGGAAATGAGACCCTAGCCACCGAAGGCTGGAATCAGAAAAAGGGCTGTTCTTTCAATTTCTCCTTTTTGCGCCATCCATCATCCTCATGCATCACAAAGATCATGGCATAGTCGTCTCACTGATGCAGCCACGTGAACTTCATCACATTATCAAACGAGGGAGAAGTTAATATATATATATATTTAGTTTACGTAGACCGATATCATCGTACGATCATTGAACGTATCGTGCCCAACCATATTCCATATTACACGAGAACTCGATGCATTAAAAGCTGAATAATTTACGTAGTTAGTTGGTCAACAAGTGTCCAGAAAGACTAGTTAACAAAATCATATTTAAATGATGGCAAGAAAAAAATTGTTGCTTTCTCTTCGTTACTGTCGTTGCTACCCAGCTTCACTCTCTGAAAGACACATTATGCATTAGATTAGCGGCAAAAAATTGAGTGACCGTGGATCGAATTAAATTGCAAACCTTCAAGCACCATTTTCTTTTTCTCTCTTCTACAATGTTCATATCCATAATGAAGATTCTTCCTTTTATTTGGTCCGTGGGTCATATTAAAATATGTTTATTGTTTTGTCAACCTAACTACAATTCGTCCACAAGATAAATATTTTATTTATAGTTTGTACGTTATTGTTTCTGGCCCCCTCTCTTGAACCAGCTAAATACAGGGTGTCAAGAGATACTTGTTTATGGAGAAATTACAAGGCTCATGTTGAGATGCAGTCCCATTCTAAATAACGTGCATGCTCTTCGGGGTGAAGTGCACCCTTTACGGTGAAGTGCCTGCTTCTTCTCATGATAACACACGCTCCCGTTCACGTCAAGTGCACATTCTTTAAAGGCCAAGTGCATCCTTCTTAGGGTCGAGTGAACACTCATTATAGTCAAGACTAAGCTCCTTCTAGCGTCTGGATGAGAAATGTGCCTCTTTCGATTAGATACTCAGCTCCTCCATTTTTCATAGCTTAAGTACTTTAGACTTGACCATATTCATCGCAACGCATAGCAAGGTCTATAATCCTTCAAACACGAAATTGAGCATGAGAAAATTGATAGGGTATTCACTTCAATCAAATGCTATACTATGGAACATTAGCTTATTAAGATAGACCAAACACAACCGTAGAAGTTAGGTAGTTTAATTTGTGAGTTCCGAAAGGTCGTTGGTCATAGGAACATTATTAAAATGTCATCATTCTTCAAAATTTCAATATTTAAGTGTTATATTCAAAGTTTTTATCATTTCTTAATACTGTTATACTTAAACGGTGTAATATTGAATGTGATTCACAATGACGCTCTAGACCTTTCATTTTATTCTTGAGAATTTCTTTTCACCAGAAATTTTATTCTTTAACTCGAATTCAATAATATTGGTAATCAAATAAATCCAGTTCTTGACAAGAAAATGCTAATCGAGTTCGTGGTTAGGTAGTATCTATGAATTATACTCGAAATTTATCCATGTTAGATCCCCAGTGAGCCATGTAGGACAACTAACGATAAATGGATAGTCACGTCAACAATTTCAGGCGAAAATTGACTGGAAAGATTATATTGGTAAAATTAAAAGATATAAGACTACATTGAAACCAAACAATAAACTTCTTTAAGATTGAATTGATAATTTTCCTGTTTGAAAAGTTTCGGCATTAAATTAATCACCGTACAATAATTATGATAGTGTTATCGTTCTTATCCTGGTATTTTTGGATGAACTTTTCAAGCTCACATGTCCATAATTTTTTTATTCGGACAAATGTAAGGTCCACAGTCCACTGCAGGTCCCTAAGAGGACAATACTATCCGCTTCTCCTTTTGCTTTTTTCTTCAAAAGTGACACTAATGCCGTGTGTTTCACATGGGCATGTGACGTTTGATTGATTGGCTGATCTTTTGTGAACTTAGGACCATCTTGGTCTTTCCACGTCTCGCATGTCCCATCCGTTGGTTTATTCGGACACGAAGTCTTAAAGTTTGTATAATAAGGCCCACCCTCCACTACAGGTCCTTTAGAGGATAATAATGTCTGCTTTTCCTTTTGCCTTTTTCTAAAGTAACACTAATGTCACAAATCCTTTACAGCTAATAAAGTGGCAACGTTTCACGTGGTAATAAGAAAGTGCACGCTCCACTATAGGTCCTCAGAGGACGTGACAATATTATCTCCTTCCCCTTTTGCTGTTTTTCCAAAGTAACAACGATGTGGCGAATCGTTTGCAGCTAAGACAATGGCACGTTTCACGGCGTTTGATCGAACATGAAAAAGATGAGTAATTGTACTAATAACCATGGTTTTTTATATCAAAATAATCGCAATTTTCTTTGAATTAATACCATGAAAAATTTCAAACTGATATATTAATGATAAATTTACGTCAAACTAATTTTTGGATCATCAATCTCTGTTAGCTTTCGTCAAATTTTGCCGTTAAAAAAATGAATAGGATGACACATGGCAGGTGACGTGGCAAATCCACGTGAAAATCTATGAGTTAATACCACGAAAAATCCCAAACTGATACATTTGTAATAAATTTACCTCGAACTAATTTTTAGATCACCAAAAACCCCAAATTGGAATACGCGCAACACATTTACCCACCATCCGCTTCCGTAAAATTTTATTATTAAATTTAGCAAGAACTCTAGATCATCTTTCTCTCCATCGAGTCCTTCATCGTCGTCTTTGTCTATGGTTGTGGAAATTGGAAACTAGCGAGAACTCTTCAGTAACACTTTTAGTTAGGGGTGTCAAAAGTACCCGCTCAAACATGACCCGACCCGAACCGACCCGATCCAAACAGGAAATTTTCATATTGGGTCGGGTTGGCCTTAACTTGTTTGGGTAACAGTAAAAACAAAACTTAAACTTGTTTTGGATCTACCCGAACCCTCCCGAAACAAGCCCACCCGAAACAAACAAGATCCATTTGTTCTTCTTGTTCCAAGCGCGCCGGAAAGGCAACCACCGTTCATTCGTGCCCGTCCAAGTCCAACGAACTCAGTCCTCCTCCTCCCTCGCTCGCCTCTGCACTCCGACCTTCGATTCCGGTGCGCAGTTCTCGAGCTCCCGCGCACCTGTCGATCCGAGCCGTCCGGTGAAATCGCCTCGCCGGCGCCGCCGCCATGGGCTGCTCCTCTTCGCTTCCGGGTAAATCCCTCCATCCGCCGTTCGTGTTGTCCGCGACTTTTTTTCGTCGCCGCCGAGCTGAATTTGAGCTTGAGCTGATCTCCGGTCGCCGCGCATTCCTCCGGTTGTGCCGCATGCCGTTGGTTGTCTCCGGGAGGTTGTCCCATGTTTTTTGGAGTCGCGTCTGTCCTGCTTTGTATTTTGGAAGTAGTCGAGTGTGTAGATCGTGGCTAGGGCTTGGCAAATTTCGATGGGCGAACTTGTTTGCCCGATGGCTGCGAGATTGTGAAGTTGCCAGGGACTTTGAGTATCATTCGCGATTTGATGAATGCCTCTGGTTAGTGAATCGGCTCTGTGATTGATTGGCTCGACATTCGGGTTATTGCAGATAGGGCTTACGGAAGATTGAGCGGGCTCAATGCGGAAGCAGTTCGATGAATGATGCAAAGAACCTGTGTGTTAAGGTACGCTTGCTACATGCGATCGTTTCTTTCTTTTTGTTCGGTCATTATGCTTGTATGAAATCTTATATCTAGGTGGCACTTGCCGTGATCAAGGTGGCGACATTGATTGCTTAGAAATCTTCTGCTTAGTAGGATGATGGTGTCTTGATATGCAACATACTCATAGTCATTGCTGCTTCATATAGCTTTGGCATCTGAACATCTTGTCTAGTGTTCATTTTATTTGCATCGTATTTTAGCATTTTCTATCCGATCTGGTAGGAGC